AAAGAGAAAGGAGATTAGAGACATTTGAGAGCAGGGGGAAGAAGAAAAGGAAGCCCTTGATAGGAAGATGCTAGGGAGGTGCTATGATACCAGATGAGGGTTTCCTGGCATGGACACGAAGGGAGAGATGTGTGATTAGACATTGAAATGGGAAATGAGGGATAGGATGGATGAAAAGCAAAAGAGGGAGGGAAGATCCAAGAAGGGAAAGATGGGTAGGGCAGAGGGTAAAGCAAGGGAGATGACTCGGATACCAGATGATGGGCGAGAAGGGGAACAAGAGAAAAATCAGGAAAAAAAGAGGGAGGGCTGTGAAGGGTGACTAAAAAGAAAAAAGCAGAAAAAGGAGGAGGAAAACAAGGAAGAAAAATCAATTGGAAATATGGGCAAAGAGTAAAAGTGGGAAATAAAATGGATATAGATGATAGAGTGGAGGCAAAAGAAGAAGGAGGTGGGAGAAAAATGAGTGTAACAAGTTCATTCAATTCAATTCAATTCACCAGAGTTCCTGTGTTTTATTCTATTTCCCTCATGGCAGAGAGAAGCTAAAGCCAAAGAATTTGGCTGGTAGTGATCGAGGTATGCAGAAACATTCTGGCCAATTCTAGCCCTGGGGAGGGAAAAGGGAGAGCATACAGTATTGGTACTGTAATTGTTCTGGTCAGACCAGGGACAGAGGATAAACAGGATAGACTAAATGGGTCTTTCCATCTCTAATTTCAAGAGAGCCCTGGACTGCATTTCTGATAAGGACCCTGAAATGCCCAGCTTAATTTACAACAATTGATAATTGTGCCATGAAGAGGAAGTACGATACTTCAGTGTCATTGGTAATGCAGTATGTAGAAAAAATAATGAACAGCAATTTTTCCTCAAAATACACATGCTTGAAAAATTAAATGGCAGGACATTATATGTAAGCATTTAACCAGTATACTGGGTCTAACATTGCTATTCAAATTAAACCTGTCTAAAAAGGTTTAAGGGAAAGACATGTTTTTCCAAGGTAGCTACATTTTATACTCTAAAACATGTATAGGCATATGTGGAATATTGGATACATATATAACCTCCCTGTTACTTATATATTGTTGTTATATGTTATGCAGTGTTTTTCTGAACAGGAATAATAGCCATCCTACACTAGGTTCTCTCTCTTATTGTTATTTTAAACAGCAGGTAAGGTTATAACTCATCTGTGTTTATGACCTTGAGGAAGCCTGGCCACTTTTCATTTACATAATGCTATTTTTACAATGCCATTAAACTGCAGAAAATAGGGCCAGCATGAAAAGTAGTTATCTACATACAACGCAATAGGGCCACTATTGTAAAAAATGCCACTGTACAGCCAAGGGAGCCAGCCAAAGAAAACAGACTTTTAAAATATAGGGTAGTTCAAGAAATGAGAAGTCACATGGATTGCAGAGGCAGCTCTACTGCAAACTAAATATGATGGAGAAGGGGACAATTTTGACTACCACTGAGTTCTGTTCAATTGGCACATTGTGCGAAAACCTGCTATTTCTGGATTCATCTGGAGGAAGGTTTTTTATTCCCCAGGGAAATGTGTTCCAGCCATGTACAGCTCTGCAGCCTGTGACACACAATGCCCCTTCATTACGAACCTGCTTCAAAATTTTGCCCAGGGGAAAAAACATAGCACTGGGCTAGGCAGTTAGAATCACAAATTGTGTATGTTAGCACCGAGATATGAAATACCCTCTACTTTTTCATGTTGTGAATAACCATTACAGCGGGAGTCCTAATGACAAGACACGGTGATTTGGAAGGAGTGAAATGTTAGATTTACTGCTGTTGATTCAATTTCTGAAACAGGCACTAATCTTGATCAATAGGCTTTATGCTGTTACTGGGATGCATTTTATCAAGCTGTTACACTGGCTTCTTTTCTTTTACTGTTTGGGATTTGTACCTCACAGCAGAATGGCAGGTTTGTGGCTGGCCAGTTAATGGGGAGGGAGACAGAAGCTTGCCCCTGTACAGTGTCTGGTCACAACCATTTCTGCACTCCTCCGAGTATAGCCTTCCCTGCAAGGGTCCCTTTGGAAAGAAAGGGGAAAGCGGTAGCTCTGACGTAGCCAACAGAACTGGATAAGTATGGGAGGTCCTCTAAAGGGATGTGACAGCAGGCATGGTCCCTGTGCCTGACAATTCATTCCAGCATAGGTACAAGCTTTTATTGACTAGGGTGTCCTGCACAGTCTCTGCACTACCAGTATCTGATTCATCGCTGCTACCTTCAGTATTTCAAGATATCTGGTCTATGAAAAATGCTATTTTGTCAAATTCTTTTCCACCATCAGTAACAGGACTCGGGATAGAGCTGACAGGGTTTCTAATGATTCACAATGTAGAAGCTTGCCTGATTCACTGGGCAGAATAGAGTTTCTTCAGTGACCCTATATGTTTCTGAAATGAACACATCAGCCAACTGTGCAGTATGACTCAGCAGACGTGATTCAGAGGCACTTAACTGTACAGTTGTTATTCAGATTTTTTTAGTTTATTAATATATACTGTTTAGTCACTAGTGGCCCAAACTGGGTTCCAGTCTGCATTGTGCTAGATGGAGAGTGAAGAGTAAGAAAATTCATGAAGTGAAGAGCCTAAAATCTCGTTGGGCAAAGGACTTGCCAAAGGTCACTCAGCAAGTCTGAGGAAGAGCTGCAAACAGAACGCATGGCACTAGACTGTGTTGCCTCTCATGTAACATAAACGGTGCCAAGTAACAAAAAGGTACAGAAAAAATACTTTTAACTTATTTCCAGGGATGAGAATAATTTATTAGATGTGGGCCTATGAAATATATTCTGTTGGAATACATCAGTTATGGAGTGCCAGCATTGTGCTTGAAACTGTATCCAACCAGCCCCTCCTTTAAAGGCCATAAAAGCTTCAGGTGAAATTCTTTCTAGTGCAGAGGGTAAACTGCATGTTCTCCACACAACCAAAGCCTGCTGCTGTGATGCGATGAGGAAAGTGAAAGGGTGGATCTGCTTTCCAGTAGGGCCCCCGTAACCTCTGTGCACTGATTAGAAGTCTCTGTTTTGACAATGGACGTTGTTTAAGGATCCAGAATATCAGGAATCTAGTGGCCAAGCTATTAAAGAGTATCACTGTGGATCCAGAGATATGAGTTTGAAACTCATTCTGGATGTGTGCCAGGGGCTGTCCCCAGACAACCTGCTCATTTGGGCTGGGCAGACAAAGGAGATGACTCCTTTGTGTGCTGTTGGCTACAGAAAGTGGTATGCCTAAGCTGTGATAAATGCTGAAGGACATTTGAGTGGCTTTAGATCATGAGTAAAATCCTGATTCCATTGAATGAAATCATAGACTCATGGAAAATTAGGGTTGGAAGGGGCCTCAGGAGGTCATCTTGTCCAACTCCCGGCTCAAAGCAGCACCATCCCCAACTAGGTCATCCCAGCCAAAGCTTTGTTTAGCTGAGTCTTAAAAAACCTCCAAGGATGGAGAGTCCACAACCTCTCTGGGTAATCTGTTCCAATGCTTTTCTACCCTTCTACTGAGAGAGTTTTCCCTACTCTCTAACCTAAACTCCCCTTGCTGCAACTTGAGACCATTGCTCCTTGTTCTGTTATCTGCAGCCACTGAGAACAGTTTGGAACCACCCTTCAGGTAGCTGAAGGCTGCTATTAAATACCCCCTCAGTCTTGTCTTCTCCAGACTAATGGTAAAACACCCACTGATTTTATAGAGGCAGGATTTCATCCTCATGAGGGAAGAGACAGGAGCATGCAATTTATTCATTTGAACCATGGGCTGGATTAGAGACCTGCCTGCGGGCAGGAAGAAGAGTAAATGTTCTGTCCTCAGAAGCCTGAGCCTCTGTCCACAAACCCTGCAGATATTCCTGCACAAATCTTCGGTAGCCAGACTTTGAGTTGCAGGAGTGGAGGACTGAGGGTAATGATCAAACACTGTCACATCAAATTTATCAGTAAATGTATCTTTATGGGAAACTTGGAGGGTAAATGTTCTAATAGCACCCATTTCCCCAGACATGTTAACACGGCATCTGGCTAGGAACTGAATTCAACAGGAAAAGAAAAAAAAGACATTCACTTCCACAGTACACTTGACTGATCTTCATAACCTCCTTGGCAACTTTCACTACAAAAGATGTACAAGTTAAGTGGTGTCCAGGTGGCTATTCTACTACTGCAGTTTTGTGGTATTTGGAATTTTTGTTTAATGCCCCAGTCCTGGAGTCATGTGGGCAACTGGATCCCATAATAAAAAGAAGAATATACTAGTCTTTGTAGTTGCAGAAAACAGTTTGAAAATATGACCATTAGAATTTTTAAAAAGCTAGAAACCAAAAGAGTAAGATAAAATACTTTTAAAATCTCGTGATATAAATCAGTCCCTTGTTTTGGGGAATCACATATCCCGATTTTTTTAATGCTTGGAGTTGGAAATACAGAAGTTGCCATAAAATCTATTAAATGCTATAAGACAATGATAGGTCATGTGAACTAGTAAGACCATACATATAAGCTAGCACAGACTTCTGGACCCCATAGTGTTCCATCACATGGCAAGGAAAAGCATTTCTCTCACCACAGGGACTACAGGGTAAAAATGACATAGGGGCCACATCTACAGAATACACTGACTATATAGTTGTTACAGCACAGTCATTTAGTACTAAACAAGTACTAAATGACTGCACTGTAACTGGAGTTACTGCACAGTAGTGTCGACAAATGGCTGTTTTTGGGATGCTGACTGTGCAGTAGCATTGCGTCACGCTTCATGCCATGTGATGCTACTATGCAGTAGTAATGAGCTACTGCACAGTCAGTGTCTCATGTAGATGAGGCCAGCTTGTATTATCTCAGTTGCCCCTAAGAATATATAAAGGCACTGGTGAAGTGCTGCTATTGATTCATTCCTGTTAGTAGAGTTAGTACATCCTTCTATTTAATCTTGCCTCTGTGTTCTCTCTGCAGTGTCATAATGACAGGTGCATATAACAACTTCTTTCGAATGTTTGACCGAAACACCAAACGTGATGTTACCTTGGAGGCATCCCGGGAGAGCAGTAAGCCCCGAGCTATTCTGAAACCCCGCCGAGTCTGTGTTGGAGGCAAACGAAGGAAAGATGACATCAGCGTCGACAGTTTGGACTTTACGAAGAAGATCTTGCATACAGCATGGCACCCAACTGAGAACATAATTGCTATAGCAGCGACAAACAATCTGTACATATTTCAGGATAAAGTGAACTCAGAAATGCACTAGGTTTATCAATATCCCTCTGTATTTATAAGCCAGCCTTTTGAGAGTTGTAGAAGGACGTGACCTTCGCAAAAGTGTGGTCGTTGTGGTGGAATTTGTAGAATCCATCCCTCCACCCTTCACTCTGTATCATTGGTGGCAACCAACAGTTTTAAAACACTGCAACTATGTAATTATACAAATACTACTACAGATTCAGTTCTTTGGTCTAGATCAGTTTTTTTAAACAATCAGGGGTATTCATTTGGGAACTGTTCCTGTTAGGTGCTGAGTACCTTCCACTCCGGTTAACTCTCAGAGGAGCTCAGTGCTTCACAGGACCAGGGTCTTATGCTGCTGCATTCCTCTGCAGCCTTCAAGGTTTACCACATTATTAGAGCTTTTTACATTAGGCTCTTGATTTCTTCAGTAATGCTTTATAGGCTTTCAAAGTGACATGGACTTATTTCTCAGTGCATAGCTGCATCCCCCTTATATCACAGTGCAGAGAAAAAAGATCTTGACAGTTACTAACTGGAAACAAAATAAATGATTTCCCTTAATAACAAGCAAAAAAGTTGCTCCGGGTCCACCTGCCATATTTCCATCTCTAGTGTTTTGCCCTCCCTCTGGAGGAGTGCCGGAGTTTTACAAACACTTTTACAGTTTTTTTACGTCTGCTAAAAATCCTGACTTTGTATTTCAACTTTCTGATTAAAAAAATGAATTACTGTAGATTTATTCAGCTTCTTATAAAACGCAATTTACTCTGCATATACATTTCTATTCAGTCAGGCTATAGTTGTAAAGATACCAATTACAGTGGGTACTATTTAAAAATTCAATATTTGCTACTTCCTGGTTACATACTATTCAGAGCACAAAGAGATGTTAATGCATATACACATGAGTTATTTAAATAGTGGGGTGGGATTTTCAAAAGCACTCGTGTGTTGTCCTAACTCTGCTGCTATTGAAGTCAATATTTGATTTCAGTGGCCACATCCAGATGATGGTGGACGTTTGGTTCCCCAGGGACAGGCAGCAGTGGCATACTTTGTGCCACTGCCTGTCCCTGGGGAATGCTTGTGCCATGCGCACTGTGCCGTACAGCAGGTTACCCTGGGTGGGGTAGGGGAGGCCAGCAACTGTGCTGGCCCCAGCAGTCTTATCTGGGATCCTGGGGGTTGGGGAAGCTGCAGCCATGGCACTCCTGCAGCTGGGAGCCTGGCTGCTACATGCATTACCCCGCTTTTTCTGTACGGGTTTTTTTAGCCTGGGATCTCCTGGGGTCAAATCCCCACCCCCACTGCAAAGTAGCAGTGCAAGGAATGCCTGACTGTGCAGCGTGTAGCACTGCAGACAGGTCTGTGGCACCGCATACTGCACATCTGCACTCGTCTGGATGCAGCCAATGGGTGCAAAGCCAGGTCAAAACTATGCACTCTTAAAATCCTTCATTTCTTTACTGCATCACAGTTATTGATCTCATGTGTATTTTCAGTATACCCAGATAATGCAGCATATGCCACAGTATCTCTAAGTGCTATGAAAGTTACCAGTTAGCAAGGCTCAGTGAATGTTAAGTTTTCAGGTTGCGCCACTGTTAAGGTCACAGAAATGATTTGTGGATTAAATGGAAGGAAATGTTTACAAAAGAACGCAATATAATCGGAAGATGCTTCTTTTGAGAGTTTTATGCAAGCGGTGTGATGTTCTGTTTTGAAAATTCTTTTAATCTACGAAATCTTTCTGTATGCCTACTAACATCTGCAGAGAACAAATATTACCCCAAATGATTTCTTTTCAAATCACAAATAAAGGAGTGTAAATGATTCAGATGATCTGTCTGATCTACACTGATTAAAATCCCTCACGTAGAAAAGGTTCTTTTATGACCCTAAACCATTCTGCATTGACTTCTAACTAATGGAGAATGACTGATAAATGGACCTGCATGCTTTTATAGGTTGATTTGGGGAGGGTGGGGTGGGTGGGAAATCTGCTAACAAGGATTACAAAAAAGCTACAACTTTTTCTATGAAGTCTTGCCATGACACACAAAATACGTACCTTTAAAATTTTCTAGAACAAGGCTGTATAGTTTTTGTGTGTAGAAGCACAAACGCATGTGCATCAGTTTCCAACCATACTATACACATACCATATGAAACGTGTAGGTTAACTTTCAAGGGAATGAGGAATGTTTGTTTATACAACACTGTATGCTCTAGAAGACATGGACAGTATTATATGTACATATTCTAATTAAATTTAGCAATCACCTTTTCTCTTGTAAAAAGGTTTAAGAATGTGGTAAATTGTATAGAAATCTTGTTAATGCCAAACTACTGCTTCAAGGGTATCATACAATTTCTTTGACTTTTGGCCTCATCCATTAACCTTTGCAGCTCAAAATGCTAACAGCTCATACTGGCATTTGCAGCTAGAAGTACTGTAAAACATATATTTAGCTTCTAACATCTTCAAATGAGATTCTATAGATAATTTATTATAAAGCAGATCTTAATACAACAGTTCTAATATTTTATTTCACGTACCTTAGTCTGTTTCACATTTGGGTACCAAAAAGATCTTGTTAAAATAAAGTAAATCTTTGGAGCGTTATGAAATTATCGACTTCCCAACCAAAATGATGAGATGTGACTATTAAAGAAAAATCTAGAAATCTTTAAAAGACCAGTATCCCAGTCCTGTCTGACATCACTAGTACAATTTGGTTGCCTGGTCTTCTTGAATGTAAGAAAGTTAACATGGTCATTGTGAAACTTTTAAAACATTTTTTTTCCTTTTTGGTTTGAGCTTTCAGTGGCGTAGACTAAGTGATGGTAAAGTTGGTAAATCTGATTGTTTTGAAAGCTGTTGTTCATGGCTGCATTCTTTGTGTTGCACAAATTAGCTAACTGTTGTTGAATAAAAATATAAATATGTGAATACCAGCTTTTTTTCAATAAAATGACAGCAAAAAATGCATAAAAATGACTTTTGAGTTGTGCCTTGTTTTTAGAGATGAATTTTTTAAAATAATTTTTAAAGTTCTGTTTAAAAGCAAAGAAAGGTGCAGCTAAATTATATAATAATACTACTCAGCATTTAGCATACATTATTCTCTGTAGATTTAAATAAGAATAATGCTCTATTTAAAGATGCAGGAGATGATCTACAGAGGAGTAAAGTGATGATAAATAGTGGGTGTGTCTACATAAGATGCTTTACTGTGTATGAGACTAATCTAATGTGCAGTAAAGCTTTACTGTCTACATGTGGGCAGCAATTACTGCACAGTAGATTAGTCTAAAGTACCATTTTCTAGTACATACAGGTACAAGAAATCAGTGCATTAAACTAATGCGCCAAAGTGCATGTGAAGATGCTGACCAGGAGTAAATTGCTCCCAGTCAGCCTAGGCAGCAGGAGGACACAGGGGGCAGGGAGAGCTGTCCTGGTGCAGTGGGACACTGCCTCAGCCACATGGAGACTGGGATGGTCCCAATCTCCATATGGCTGGAAGGCAGTTGCCTGGCAGCCAAGTCAGGTCTCCTAGCCCTGTGGAGATTGGGATGGCTCCTGAGCTCCACAGGGCTGAGAAGCAGCTGCCCAACAGCTGGGAAAGCTCTCCCTGCCCCATAGAGATCGGGATGGGTCCAGATCTGTGCAGGCTGAGGCAGCTGCCGGCTGAACTGGGACAGCTCCCCCTGTCCTATGGGACTCAGGGCCTGCCCCTATCTCCCAATGGCTGGCAGGTAGCTGCCCATCAAGCTGGGACAGCTCCCCCTACCCTGTGAAGTTTGGAGCTGCCCTCCAGAACTGGGACAGCTAGGGGCTGGCACCAGGGGGAGCTAGAGCTCCCTCTGGCTGCTTCAGGGGAGCAGAACAGGGCAGGAGCAGCCCTGGACTGAGCTGTTCCTGTTGGAACAAGTCTCCCAATCTACTTTGAGTCCTGTGCCTTCTCCACTGGACATACTCTGGTGTTACCTACTCTATAATCCACAGAAGCCTAATAATACTGTGCAGTAGTGTACTAACACTGTTTCTTCTGTGACGTGCTACTGCACAGTATTATTAGGCTACAGCGCAGTAGTGTCACTAAAAAGGCATGCACTAGTGCTACTGAGCAATAGCATCAGTTCCTGTGCTTTGATTATACAAGTACTGAACTTAACGCACAGTAACTACAACACATTAATGAACATGTAGACGTGCCCAGTGTTTGTACCACTACTACCATTGTGTTAAAAGGAAGGGGAACCTTATTCAGTTGCTCCAAAGAAAAAAATGTATGTGCCTTCCCTCCAAGGAGGAGTTCAGGGTGTAAAGGCAACTGCCTGTCAGAGACCCTGGCTCAGGCTCCTAATCACTGGAGTGGGGCGGGATTTCTGAGACAGTGTCAGACTCAGTGTTCCCTAGTGACTAGCTCTAGTATACTGGCTACTTTGGATCCCATTGTAGGGATCCAACTCTCCCTGCACCCCGTTACTCTGTGATGCCTTGTGGGGCAGAAACTATCCCACTGTTGTTCATTCTTTTATCCAATGAATAATAAATGTAAGATGCAGAAAAACTCTTGAGGTTCAGGGCCAAGAACTAGGGCTTGATTCCTTCCAGGGCAGTGTCTGTCTCATTGAGTCACTCTTCCTCTAGCTTACTCTCTTTTTGGATCCATATATCTTTACCTCCTAACTACCAGTGGGCTACTTTCAAGATGAGGACTGGAGAATAGTTTGGGCTATCCCTAGGCCTGGTGGCTGGAGCACTTTGCTGAAACTTGGAGATGTAAGTTCAAGGCCTCCTAGGTGAGTGAGTTCAAAACCTAGGTCTCTTGCTCCCTGGGCTATTTCCCTAAGCACTGACCCATTGGATTAAGTGAGGGGTAGGGCTCTGCCTTGCTCCCCCACTCACTAATTGCAATTTTTTAAACTAAAATTTTGGGACTTTCTCAGTGTTAGACACATGCCCAGGCAATTCTATTCTGCCATAGACCCTATGTGGCCCACGTGCAGCTCAGAAGGGACGTGCAGGGTGAGCATGGCTATTCCAGTCAAATTCTATGTACGTGTAAAAAAAAATCACTTCGGTAAATACTACTGAGGTGGGTAAAACATGAAATAGAGTTTAGCCCCTAACTTCTCAGCTTTGGAGCAGTTCTGGGCATGCTCACAAACAGCCCAGGGAACTTTTCTTTTAGAAATTTGGTATACGGGGACTTTAGGTACCTCTTTTAGGATGAATGTGCCTACAGTGGCAATGAGGCATAATTTAGATCTCCTGTTTTCCAGGTGTGCCCACCCTAGCCAATGAGCTACTATGCATGCAGTTTTATTCCCCGGTATTTTTCTCCCATGAAAAGGGGATTGACCTGTTTTAAGCACGTAACTCCAGGAGAGGAGCAACTGAGACTCCCCAGCTAAAGTCAGTGCCCAATTACCTCTCCTTAGCACTTCTTACTGGCTAAGGTAGGCTGCTCTTCACTCAGCAAATTGGCTTGTGTGATTACCATTCTTACCACATGCATACAACATGACAACAAAGGGCATGTCCACACTATTAGTATGGTTCCTTCAATCAGTCTGAATCCCACGAGCTACCCTTTTCATATCCACCTCTCCAGTGGCTTACATTATTGCTACAAGTTAGGAACAGCAAGTTGTGGATTACTGCTCGCAGGCTTCCTGTGACTTCAGTCTGTGGTGGCCAGGTAAATTCCAAACACACGATGTGGAAAGGCAGGATAGGCAGAGGCTTGCTCACAGGTCCTTATTCTGCAGAGTTTCTGGAAGTTAGGTTGAAAGGTAGAATACAGGGGTCTTTGACGTAATGTGATTGACTGGCATGGCCTCAAGGGCTGTCTTAAGACTGGCCCTGAGAAACAGGGTAGACATAGCCTAACTGTCCCAAGACATTCCAGAGGGAGCATCAGCACCTAACCTTGGCCAGAAGATCACACTGGATGGCAAGGGCATAAAGATTAACTGTTACAATGCTAGGTAATGCTGAAGTCCTGATATGGATTAGGCCCAGAGTGACATTTCTTCAAACAGAAAACTCTATTGTGCCTACCTTAGGCCTTGGATGGGAGTAGTAAGAAAGAAGGGCTGGACCTGGCATTGGCCTGCATTCAAGTTTTCTTTTGCCTTGCAAAGTGACTCGGCAGAATCCCAGACTTTGCACTGTTTCGTTTAATTGGGTTATCAAGTACAAATAGATACTGGTAGAATAGGTCCCAGCTGAAAACAAATGCATGAACAAACGCATCAATATGCCTAATCCCCTTTGCTATTTCTCTCTTCAGTCCTAGTTCCCAGAAGTATGGACTTAAAAGCAGGTGGCATATACCATTACTCTGAAAATGTCAATGATCTTATTTATATTAGCTGCACTGGGTAATTTGTTTTAACTCTTTATGCGTCAGTGAAAAAATTACATTAGCAAAAGCCATTTCCCTAGCTTCCATGCTAACTCCTACTACTCTTGCCATCAGTGCAGCAATTCATACATTGATTTCAGCTTGAGCTGATGGGGAGAGTTAAGAAACCAAATTTCTAACTCTCCAAAATCACTACTAAGGTGAATCATATTTCTGTGCAGAGAGCCAGTGAAAGGACTGATGTGCGTCATTAACATCATATCCTCAGTCAGATATTATTGATTCCTGCAATTATATCCCCTACCCATTTTCATCTTCTCACTAATTGTGTCTTGTCGCTAATATAAACTCAGGGCTTGAACCTGTTCATCTTCCAGAGTCCCCGAAGATTATTGCAAGCAAGGTTGTAAAATTGGGCCTGAGGCTGTTGAGGACAGGGCTTGGATTTGTTCTGTGAATCCTGTACAATGCTCTTGATATGGTATGCATAATCTTTTATAGTACAACATGGAAATATTTTCCTTTGAGTTGTAAAAGTAATTCAGGGAGAGAAACTGATTCCATTCTATT